GACACACGACTTTCCTCGCCTCCTCGAAACTGGTCGGGCACTTGTTCCCCTTGGAAAGACGTTCGTGCCAGAATGATATATTCTCGTCGAAGCATGCGTCGGTCATTTTATGTTTTACCTTCATCTCCAAAGCCATGAGCGTTACTTTCAGGCGGGTATCCTCGGGTCTGCATCCTTCATACAATGGAGTAACCGCATCTATCTCCAGTTGATCCAGCTTGGCTTTCTCTCGGGCGACAGCTCTTGCGTTATCCGTCTGCTTGAGAAGCAGCTCTTGAATATGAGGGTCCTGCACCCAGCCCATCGATGGTCCATCGTCGTCTGCTCCTCCGGCATCTTGAACTTCATGATCATGCCCTTCGTCTGCTCCGGCATCTTCCTCATCATCATGTCCGGCGTCTTCTACATGATGACTGTGTACAGCATCACCGTCGTGATCATGTCCTGGAGATTCTTCGTCTTCTCGCCCGCCCGAGCCGCGGTGGTTGTCTTGCTGCCCTTCCTCATTTCTTGCCCGGCCCCCATGGACGACTTCATAGTCATCTTCATCACCTTGCCACCGATAGCCATCCATAAAACCACGCAAGAGCAGGTGGTCCCGCACCTGCCCAGAATCCGGGTCCGCAATAAGGCTCTTCAGCTTGCATCTTCGACACGGACATCTTATCTTCGTCTCGTTCTTTTGAAGCATCTCGACCTTCGCGGAGCTCAAAAACCTATTCACGATGCCTTCGGTCATCGTGCGGACCATGATCGCCTGCGGGGTAGAGCAAAACGATATTTTAGAACCAAGAAAAAAAATTGGCATGACTTTCCCTAAAAATAGGACCAAAAAGAATGCATAGTGCCAAAATTCTCGCCGAAACGGAAATGAATCAACATTCCGGCAAAATATTGGCAACTATCGCATTTCAAATATCGGTACCTGCAAACACAAATATATATGCAACACCACAAACATATGCAACACCACAAACATACATAGATCTAGCTAGGCCACAAAAAGTGCATGTGCACGTTGTTGGAGCGAGCTAGGGAGAAAAAAAGTAGATCTACAAAATGAAGATAGCTTTCCCCTTACTTAGCTATCAAAAAAAAGGTAATTTCAACACTTAATTTTAATGAATTTATACTGCAAATGAGGTGAGGAGGAGGAGGAGGCAGCCGACAAACTTAGAGAAAGAGGTGGGGGGAATTAAGTGGGGAAAGTGAGTGTGTAGGTGTGGTTGTCCAAAAATATCTAGCTGGTCCCAGGTTACTAATAGCGCACCACACAGCCATGCGCCATTAGTAACCCAACATACTAATGACGCACCACACAGACATGCGCCATTAGTAGTTTTGCAAAAAAGTAAAAAAAATAATTTTTATACTAATGGCGCACCGTGGCACAGTGCGCCATTACTAGTTTAAACTAGTAATGGCGCACTATGCAACGGTGCGTCATTAGTAGTTTTGCAAAAAAGTAAAAAAAAAATACAGTAGTGGCGCACTCTATGGCTGGTGCGCCATTAGTATGTTTAAAAAAATAAAAAAAACATTTTGTTACTAGTGGCGCACCGTGTGTCTGGTGCGCCATTAGTGTCTTTCACACTAATGGCGCATCTCCACATGGTGTGCCATTAGTATATAGTAGTGACGCACCACTTCTCTGGTGCGCCATTAGTGTCAATTTCATCTTTAGCCCTTTTTCTAGTATAAATCGATTAGGATGTGGAATTCCAATCAGTATTTGCATAGAAACCGGCCGAGATAATACTTCATATCCGGTTTCTATTTTGAGGGCCGACAACATCAATATGTTTATGTCAGCCGGTTCTACTTTTCTGCCAGGTATGTTAGGTCTGCCACCTCCATAGACCATCTTCGTTATATTCGTTTGTATATCATGCAAGATCATCATATTTTGTACACACACATGACATACAGACATAATCAAAATCATCAACAAGTTAAAATGTTCGAAAAGAGAATCTACAATTTATTAAGCGAAGAGAGAGAAAAAACCCTTACCGCTTGCTTGAACGTCGTTGGCTTCTCGGGGTTTTCGTTACAGACCACTGCTCAGCATGCGCCCACCTCCTACCCCTGCATCGTCGCTCACTCCACGCCCAGTCATCGCTGCCATCTCCCCTGCTTGTTCCTTCCCTATCACTGTGATAGAGGACGGCGACGCTTAGGCTGGGAGGAGCTGCTCTGCTAGAAAAAGTGCTTGGACAAGGGCAAAATAATTGTTCCCCGTTAGAAGGTTTCTTCAGTTTGCATAGTCCTAGAAACTCAGAAATAAATATATATATATATGATAAAGATGCCATGCCTTACTGAATTTTAGCGGATGGATCTTTAATAGAAGGTGTTTCATTGCAGAACAAGAAAAAACACAAAAATATTCCTAAAATATTAGCTGCATGGCGTGTAGTTGTCATAGAAACAAAAGTTTGGAAAAATCCTCTGAAATGACATGCAAAGTCAACCAAACAAAAGTATGGAAAGAATTCTATAGCTTCCAACCCTACAAACTAAACAATCTCTATATAAATATTATGAAATCCTTTTGAACCAGAAGGACTTATAACAAGACAAACATGTTATTTGTGAAAAAGGTATAAACAAAGTGCACAATTTGGCTGGATCAAACTAATGTGTATGCTCTAGGCAAGGATCAAGTCCCAGCCAAGTCCATGTGCCAGAAAACACGTCTGCACAGCTTTCAAGCAGCAGTGCAAACTTTTCGGCATCGTACATCTTACTAGAACATACAGTTGTACCACAGATAGATCCAGATAACCTCCTAGGAAGCATTACAATCTTATTGAACTCTGAACAAGACTGCATACTAACTGAGTTGGTCAACGATGATTTTAGCTGGATATGCAGAAGTATCAGGTGGCCATGAAATACTGAGAGGCACCAATGTTGAACCGAACAATTCAGAAAAATGAAGTGACAAAATGAGGGAAACTAGTATACCCCTTCATGACAGAGAGCTTTACTGGATTGAACAAACAAGAAATTACTGCATGGATCAGATAAAACAATTGAAACAAAACTTTAGCAAGGCATGAGATTTAGGCATTTAGCTATGCCCACTGCATAGAAGAAACATGCACAAAAAGATACAGAGATGAGCCACAGTTGGGACTGAATATTCCTAGAAAAATGGTTAAGCAGTGGGCTTTTGTTTTGGGGCATAGAAGTGATGGACAAAACAAAATTACATAGAAACTAACCGAAATCACTCATATGAAGCTATCGTGAACACATTACCTCACTTGCTTTCTTGTTAGCTGCTAGATTCTGTCGGCAGAGCGAGATCCACGAGCCGGTGCCATCTTTGCCTTGCCAGGGCAACTCCAGCTTCGGGTAGCCTGGGATCCGAGCTAAACGGTGAGGGGCGCACCGCGCACAGATCCACGCTTGGCTTTGTTCGCTTAGTGGGCATCTAATCCGCTAGAGGATTTAATCCACCCAGGGGTTGGGAGATCTAGATTCCCCTCAATCCCTCTCTCAGTTTTTGTTCGGTTAGTTCATTTTCTAACAGAAGGGGAGCCTTGGCGCAGTGGTAAAGCTGCTGCCTTGTGACCATGAGGTCACGGGTTCAAGTCCTGGAAACAGCCTCTTACAGAAATGTAGGGAAAGGCTGCGTACAATAGACCCAAAGTGGTCGGACCCTTCCTCAGACCTTGCGCAAGCGGGAGCTGCATGCATTGGGGCTGCCCTTTTTTAGTTCATTTTCTAACTGAAACTTTCTGAATCGAAGACAAACTACTGAGCTACCAAGGTCCATGTCACGAAACAATTTGTAACTACCTCTAATCAAAATCTAGCAGTTGGCATTCAAATGCAAGTTCTTCATACAGGCGAAACAGATTATCTAGAAAGCAATATCTAAGAACTCAAAGTTTTATTATTCTTCTTCTTCACACAAGCAAAAAATTAAAGCAGATAAAAAAAGGGAACTAGCGAGCTACCATAGATTCATACATAGATATACTTATATCGGACGAGCCAACAATAAAATGGAGACATGCATATTATAGAACCACCTTGTTACCTCCAAATGATCTCTAAATAATTTTTGTGCATGCGGAGAAACTGTGTCAACACCAAAACTTTCCCCATTTGCGTCAAATTACCGAACCATAATAGTATGATTTTAGTTTTAGGCCAACATCCTACCTCAGGAAAACAATTGAGATATGCAACCGTGATTGCCTCAGAAAGCTGCATCACTGCATCTTGCACTGCCAGTTTCAAGGGAAATGCAAGTTGCTGTTTTAATCTGATTCAATATATTCAATTCAGAAATGGATTCAATGATCATTTCTCTTCCCATAGTACCCTCTATGATAAAATTCATGAACAGGAAGCAATTGCATATAAGAAGTTGCCTGTACAGAATTACAGTGCCTTTCAAAATGAACATAAACTTGATTGTTAATTGATTCCATCTTTGTTGGTCAGCCAACCGTGTCACGAAACCATTTGTAACTGTCCCTAACTAAAATCTAGCAGTTGGCATTAAAATGTAAGTTTTTCATACAGGTACAGATCATCTCAAAAGTGATAGCACAAAACTCACTGTGTTATCAGTTTCATTTTGAATGAAATGAAATACGGAGCTCTGCTCCTTAATAAATTAAAAAAACTCAGAGTTTATCAATCTTCACATAAGCCAGGCATTAAAGTATATAAGAGAGAGAAAAACGGCAACTGCTAGTGAGCTACCATGGATTCCTGTATACCTATATCAGACCGGCCAACCAATACATTGGAGACATAGTACACTTTATAGAACCAACTCACTCCCTCCAAAAGATCTCTGAAAACTAAAAGACACGGCACCCTCATCTCAGGAAAGTAACTAGATAGTACCTAACCAGGATAGACATGCGAAATTACTAAGACTTAATTCCATTCTCCAACCCAACATAAGGCATTCGCCTCTAAAGATCTATCAGAACTGAAGGATAAGCAGTAGCTCATACCAGGTTGGCGTACTAAATTTTGCGGGACTTGACACTTCTCTCAAACATCTCTACAAAAAGACCAGGAAAAGATCTTTTGAGGTGCAGATACCCTTGGCTTGCGATCACATCATCCATTTTATTCGAAGAGAACATAAATTCAATGCAAGCATCTTTGAGGTTGGAGTGAATTGCAGAAAACATCGACGTTGAAGGCTAGGGTTGCAGAAACCACACCTCTACGGTTTTGTGCCAAAAATCACTAATTCCGAGGCTAATTTTTTGCAAAAAACACTAGTCGTCCGGTTTGCTCGTTTTAAGTCCGATTATGACAGATGGGTCCCGCTTAACAGGGTGGCGGTGACACGATATAACAGATCACAAATAGACAAAATTGCATGGACCAAACTGTAAAAATGAACTAAGAGGATAAGGTTGGTGATGTGAAAAAAAGGGGCTTTTTGATTTTTTGCCACAACTTTCTTTGGGCTTTAACAATTTGCCACCCTTTAGATTGTAATTGATCCATTGCCATCTTTTACATTGAACTTTGCTATTTTGCCCTCTGTGAGATGGATCCTGCAATAAATGTCCAACATACCCTTTTCCCTGGATTGACCACGAACTGGGAGGTCTCGATCTCTGGTCGTTCCCTTTCCTCTCGCCCGCAAGAACTCGCGAAGACGACAGAGACGGCGAGTTGCGGTCGGGGCTTCTCGACGGCGGCGGCGACTTGCACTTGGTGCTCCTCCACGCCGGCGGCCGGATCCAGCCCAGGAAGGTGTTGCCCTCTCTCCCTCGCCCCCTCCCTCCCGTCCCCTAGGGTTACGCGACTCCGGCCCGGGCTTGGCCGCCGGCCGCCGAGTGCACTGCTCCCGCTGCTGCTTGTGCTGCCGCTGCGGGTGCTGCTTGAGCCGCTGCTTGTGCGCCGCCGCTATTGCTTGTAAGATCTTGCCCGGCGAGGAGCAGCAAGGGTCAGCGAGGAGCAGCAGGAAGGTGCAGGAGAGAGTGCAGCACAAGTTCATCCCTCCCCTGTATTATGTTTGGGTCAAACAATGTACAAGGGCATACTAATCCTCTATTTTCTTCACTTATGTTGTCTATTATTTTCAAAGTTTGTTTTTGTGTTGAAAAGTGGCAAAAGATCAAAGTCCAAACAAAAAAGTGTCATCAGATCAGTTACAAAGTAAAGGATGGCAAATTACCAAAGTCCAAAGAAAGTGGTGGCAAATAATCAAATCCCCCGAAAAAAAGAGGACAAGGTCGTGCCTCGGCCTCCCGCTGCCCAGCCGGCGAGCTCACTCCACCTCCTTGCCATGGACGCCCAAGTTCGCCGGCGAGCCCGCCGTCCAGCGGACGCCCCACCCCGCCTCCCCTACATCCCTTCTCCTCTCTCTCTATCTCTCCCTCTCCCTCTCCCTCTCCTTCTCCCTCTCCCTCTCTCTCTCTCTCTCTCTCCACGAGCAGCTCGCCCCCGCCTGTGTCGCTCACGGCCAACTCCACAAGCAGCTCGGACCGGTGCGAGGTGAACGTAACGGAGGACCCGATTGCTTTCTTTTCAGGGGTCTTTTTGCAAATCATAACTATATCAGGGTGTAATTTGCATTTTTCTTTGCCACGTCACTCTATCCAGTGGGACTAGTGTTTTTTGCAAAAAATTAGCCTCAGAATTAGAGATTTTTGGCACAAAACTATAGAACCGTGGTTTCTGCAACCCTAGCCTTCAATGTCGATGTTTTCTGCAATTCACTCTTGAGGTTGCTGCAATGATGCTGGTCAGCTAGAGCTAAGATGGTCGCCACGGTCTCAACGTCAAGACACTTGCATAGCATCCCTTCACATATCATCTTCATTCTTCCCGTCGCATACTTGTCTGTAGCCATGAGTAAGTGCTTAAACATTTCTCTTTTGTCATCATCCTCAAGATCGTCCATGGAAGGCAATGAATCCGTGTAGATGAAGTGAAGAAATGCCTTGAAAACAGCAGGCTGCATGTCGTCCATAGTTATGTCATGCGCCCCTTTGTCCGCCATCGGCCCGTAGAACTCCGCGTCAAAGACCGCCGATCGCATCGCAAGCAAATTCTTATGAGCTGGAAAAACCTCCCCTTGCACCTTGAAAGTCACGTCCGCTCCCTTCTTCCCCTCTAGCAATATTGCAAGATTATCCAAAAGGTCGGAGGGCGGCGAATCAATCTCAAGTGTTTCCTTGATGACACTGATGTTACGGCATATCTCTCTCAAGGTAGTTTTGGTGATTGATGACAACATGTTTGCGGACTAATCTTGTGCTTTGAATAATTCACAGATTCTCCCCTGGCACGAGACGCCTTCTTCCCCTCGGAGTGTATTTCAAGACGGTGTAGCTCTTTCGTTTCTTTCTCGGTAGACTAGTTGCGTAGAGGGCACCGTACTATCAAGAGGGGGTCCGCTGGGGTTTTGCATGGGTGGAATCATCACGTACACATCAGCTTCTCACCCTCCGAGCATTTCCTTTCCATTGAAGAGATCTCTCCTCTCTTCCTTGTCCTGTCTGGGTCAAAGCGGTAGTACCGCGCACCCGGCGGTAGTACCGCTGAGGAGCCAAGCGGCAGTACCGCTCCGCAGCGATAGTACCGCCCGTGGCTCCACAACAGTAGTATCGCTGGGGGCCTGGCACCTCCGCGTTGTCCTCAGCATCTTTGAGAGATTCCTTCTCTCTCGCGCGCGTGCCCCAGCGGTAGTACCGCACTGCCTGCGGTACTACGGCTGAAGGGTCACAAGCGGCAGTACCGCTCCACAACGGTACTACCACCCTTGACCCCACTGCCGTAGTACCGCTGGGCAGTCTGGCTCCTACCACCTCGATTCGAGAGGTCTTTTTCTCGTGTCGGGTTTTGCGGCACTAGTCACGGTTGTAGTGGCGGTAGTACCGTTCCAGGAGCGGTAGTACCGTTTCAGGAGCGGTAGTACCGCCCTACCACCGCGGTAGTACCGCTTTTGGGTTCGTTCCCTACTAGTCTCCTCAGCGCGGCAGTACCGCTGGCTGGCGCGGCAGTACCGTTGTCCTGGCGGTAGTACCGCCCCCTCTCAGCGGTAGTACCGCCCTGTGCGGGGCTGGTTGGTGGGGGGCAACGGGATTGTTGCCCCCACTATAAAAGGGAGTCCCCTTCTTCCTTCTCACCTACCTCTTCCTCCCCCAAGCTCCATTTATTGCTCAAGCTCCATTAAATACTCCAAGCTCCATTTTTGCCCGATCTATCTCTCTAGCCAATCAAACTTGTTGATTTGCTCGGGAGTGGTCGAAAAGGCTCCGATCTACACTTCCACCAAGGGATTTTCGATTCCCCCACTCATCCCTAGCGGATCTTGTTACTCTTGGGTGTTTGAGCACCCAAGACGGTTGAGGTCACCTTGGAGCCATATTCCATTGTGGTGAAGCTTCGTGGTCTTGTTGGGAGCCTCCGATTAAGTTGTGGAGATTGCCCCAACCTTGTTTGTAAAGGTTCGGTCGCCGCCTTCAAGGGCACCAATAGTGGAATCACGGCATCTCGCATTGTGTGAGGGCGTGAGGAGAATACGGTGGCCCTAGTGGCTTCTTGGGGAGCATTGTGCCTCCACACCGCTCCAACGGAGACGTACTTCCCCTCAAAAGAAAGAAACTTTGGTAACACATCCTCGTCTTCACCGGATCCACTCTTGGTTATCTCTTACCTTTACTTGTTCAAGCTCTTTAGTGTTTCTTCCCTTGCTTGCTTGTATGCTTGTTGTTATTGCATCATATAGGTTGCTCACCTAGTTGCACATCTAGACAACCTACTTTGATGCAAAGTTTAATTTGGTAAAGAAAAGCTAAAAATTGGTAGTTGCCTATTCACCCCCCCTCTAGTCAACCATATTGATCCTTTCAATTGGTATCAGAGCCTCGTCTCTTTATTAAGGACTTTACCGTCCAAAGAGTATGGTTGATACCGTAGACGGTGTGGAGGAACACTCCGATGTGAATCCGATCTCGTCTACGGGAGATGGGGGAACTTCGGTCTCTCGTGAGGAGTTCAATGTGGCCTTGGAGACATTGAAAACCTCTATGACGACCGAAGTTGAAAGCATGTTTACTAAATTTCTTGAGGGGCTTAAACTATCCACCGCACCGTTGAAAGTGGGTGATGCCGCCAACAAGGTGACGGATGCTATCCCCGACAAGGGGGAAGCTAGTAGTGAAAAGGCTCCTTCTTCTAGTGGCAAGAATGGCACCGGCATCTTTGCCCATGTGGAAACACCACTTGTTTATGGTGGACCGGTTCCTTCCACTCATTTGAATCATGTCGGTCCTCCCCCTAAGATTGTGAAAAATGAGGATTTTGATTCTTGGGTTTACCGCTTTAAACGTCATTTAAATCATGTGAACACTAACCTTTAGAGAATCATTGAAGAAGGTTTCTATCCACATGATCCAAGCAACTTCACTCCTCGAGAAGCCACGGACAATCAATTCAATGAGAATGCTCTCTTCATCATTCAAGATGCAATTCCACCCGAAGACCTACCTCATCTTCGTTCCTTCGCCTTGGCCAAAGATGCATGGCATTGTGTCGTGTCTCTCTACCGGGGAAGCGCAAGCATTCAACGCTCCAACTATGAAGTGGTACAAGATGAGGCCGATGAGTTTGCAATGAAGGAATATGAAGAACCTCGTGAGCTTTATCGGAGAGTAACCAAACTCGCGGTCACACTACGAGATCAAGGGAGCAAGGACACGGATGACAATTGGATCAAGCGCAAATTCCTCAAGGCAATGATGCCCTACCACAAGGCCATGTCCTCTGTCATTCGTCAAAGACCGGACTTCCACACTTTAACCTCAAGCGAAGTGCTGGATGAGTTTGTGGCCGTGAACATTTTGGACAAGACCGCCGACAATGCGGTGCTCCGTTCTCAACGGGCAAAGAAGCCTAACCTTGCATTTAAGACCAAGCTCACCGTGGAAGAAGAAGAAGAGGAAGAAGAGGAGAGCAACCCCGAAGATACGAAGTATGCATATCATGAACACATGGCACTTGCTTCAAGGCAATTTTGGAGCAAGAAAAACTCGAGGCCAAACTTTAGCAAAAACAACTCGAGTGGCCAAGGGGCAAGCAACGTGTAAGGACTTGCTACAATTGCGGCAACGTGAGTCATTTAATTGCGGAATGCCCGTATGAGAAGAGGGAAGACAATGGTGGGCTGGTGGCAAACTCGTCCGAAAGGACAAGGCCAAGTCGTTCCCCAACAAGAACAACTTCACCAAGAAGACTCCTCCCAAGGCTTTGGTTGTGCAAGAAGAGTACAATGAGGATGATGACGATGATGAAGATGATGAGTCGGTTGCCATGGCCTCCGTTGCCATTGCAACAACGTCACGGGTGTCTCTCTTCGACTCACCCAACGAGAGCATCACCGCCAAGTGCCTCATGGCTAAAGCCACCAACAAGGTAACCTCCAACATCAAAACTACCATCATTAATCATCCTTCCCCAACGGATAGCATTAATGAACTTGAGGGAGCTAATGTGGAGGCTAACGAGTTTGAGGCCTTTATGGGCAAACTCAAGGGAAAATCCAAGAAGCACTTTGTTGCTCTCTTGGAACAACTTGGTGAGGCCAATGACATGATCGAGGCTCACGAAGACACCATCTCTAAGATGGAAGGGCATAGTCGTGACTATGCCGATGAGATTTCGGATCTTTCCAATGCTCTTGAGGAAGAGCGTGGTTGAAAGAACATGCGGTGCCCCCATGTATGGTTTTGGTAATTGATGACAATCTCTACGGACTAATGGTTGCCTTGAGTTATATTTGAAGGTTTTTGTCCATAGGCTTTTCTTGGAGTGCATGTGTTGGTTTCAAGGAGAGTTTGTGTCGACCAAGGTGTTATTCAAGGAATTACCTAAAGATTGGTCTTGTGAGAGGTTGATCAAGACTAAGTCAAAGAGTGAATCAAGTTGACCAACCCACAAAGCGTAGAAGATGTACCGAGAGGGATCAAGTGATCCCATGGTATGGTAAGCATTGTCAATTACGCTTCATGTACTAACCCATGGTCTTCGTGAGGGTTCTTTGTGGGGTTAGGTTGCGGTGTGCAAGTTCAAGTGGAGCATCACGAAGAGATCAAATGCTTGAAGCTTGCCGTCCTTTGTGGTGACAATGGACTTGTGAAGATGTGCGGAAGAGTGGCTCACCCATAGTGGAGTATGGGGGAGCAATCAACTAGTCTTCATCAAGTCAACCCAATCAAGAAAGGTGGTCCAACTTGAGGGAGTCAAGATCGTCTTCATCTAGCTCAAGTGGACCATGTGCAAGGCAAAGGTTTGCCCTTGATAGGTTTTCTATTTTACCGGTCTCATGATGGTAGTTGGGAGACTGGGTTATAGGATCAATTGTCGTACTATCAAGGGGGGCTCTCGATGAGTAGCTTGATCGTATCGTTCGCTGAGAGCTCAAACCATTGCATCCTTGCATCATCTTTCTTGGTTCTTGTTTGGTTCTCTTTGAGAGTCTTAGAGCTTTTGGTCATCTTGATGACAAGCTTGAGTTCATCGAAAACGGAGTTCGCTTGAATACTCTATGATGTTTTTGTTGTTGGAGGTTTTGCCGGTTCTTCTCGGTTGGAGGTTTCACTCCTGTATTTGTTGGCATACCTCCCCTGCCTCTTCTTACTATAACTTTTGGTCATCATTGTTGGAGGTTTTGCCGGTTCTTCTCGGTTTTGATGCTACTCGTCGTCTTGTTTCCAACAAGCTTGAGTTTGCTCAATTCGGAGCTCATATGCAGCAGTTATGGCAGTTCTTGTTCTCTTGAGGGTGGTTTTGTCAGGGTCCGTGTTGGAAAGGTTTGGGTGGATTCATCACGTTCTCGTCTCCTTCTTTTCCCCTCCTTCTTCCTTGGAGCTTCCTCCGTTTTCTTGCCTCCCTTGTGTGGATGCCATTGTTGGTTGCGGTAGTACTGCTCCCAGGAAAGCGGTAGTACCGTAGGCATCAGTGGTAGTACCATGCAGTGGCACGGTAGTACCGCAGGTG